GCTCCACCCCCGAATCTCCAGGAGTTTTTCATGCAACCCTACCTCCCCATCACCCACTGAGGTCTAGGGGGGACCTGGCAACCCTAGACTTAGGGGGAGATTGGATCAGATTCCACCTAGCTGCAGCAATCTCCTTTTCTGCCCAGGTTCCTGGTGAAAGGAGGCTTGGTTGGAGGTGCTGTTTATGTAGTATATGAGCAGGGGCTCTTAAGCGGCAGCGACCAGGGGGCTGAAGCACTCCAAAAAGCCCAAGCGGCATTGCCCCCAGCTGTGGAGGAATGGACCAGATATTTCGGTTGGCAGGTAAGTGCTGAAAAGAAGCTACTAAAATCGTTTGACATCGCAAAAAGATTTCGACTCCATGGCTCTCCAAAATTCACTCTGAGGCTTAAAGGACACTGTTAACATCTAATAAGGTAAAGTGTCTGACCCAAAAGCAGCAGCAGCAGCCTGTGTTAAAAATGGCGGTCTCCCACCTGCAGCATAACAATCCCAGCAGCAGAACGAAGGCAAAAAGTGTATTAAAAACTGGAGTTTTTGAAAACTCTCCACAAATGCCCTGGGTTTTCTTCTTGGTACTGAAGTGCTCTGTAGATTTGGCGCACAGCTGCGGGCATGGAGTTCCAGAGCTAAGATGCCACGCACACACAATATGTTAAGCTCTAACAAGACCTGGTACTGGTTTTCCTTCGCAACAACCCTGTGAGACAGATCAGGCTGAGGAAAGGAGAGACTGGCTCAAAGTTATGCAAGGCTGTAGCAGTGTGTGGATTTGAACCCAGCGGAAGCAGCATTTTGCTTATGGCCAGTTTGGTGTATCAGACCCGGGTTCACATCCCCATATATCCATGAAGCTGACCTTGGGTCAGTCGCTCTTTCTCAGCCTAACCTACCTTGCAGGGTTGTGAGGATAAAATGGAGAAGGGAAAGCCATGTGTACCATCCAGAGAGGAGGAAGGTAGGATTTAAAAAAATCTGGTAGGTAAGAGCTATCGTTGGGCAAGGATTTGAACCAAGGACTTTGGAGTGCCTGCTCTCAATACACGCGCTTGAGATGTGGCTGAGTGTCTGGCCTGATTAACCTAGCAATTTTATTCTCAACATGTTTAAGTTTCTATTTCTAGTCTACTGTGGGTGGCAGAGGTAGGCGCCGGCATCTTCTAGGTTCAAACCTTGCCCTTCCTCGTGTTTTGAGAAGCTCTTGCTGTCAACTGCAAATGGAGCTTTAAACTATTTTTCTGATGGGTTTTGTTGTAAATATAATATATCTATTTTAATTCCTGCAGCTTCCAGCAATTCCAAAAACTGAATTTTCTATTGCCAGTTCCTGGAACACAGGTAAGAATGCTGGATCCTCCCCCCCCCCCCCCCCCCCCCACCCTCTCCTTTTT